GGCACTATTCCTCCCCCTGACACCAATGATGGGGCACGATTCCTCCCACTGACACCAATGATGGGGCACGATTCCTCCCACTGACACCAATGATGGGGCACGATTCCTCCCACTGACACCAATGATGGGGCACGATTCCTCCCACTGACACCAATGATGGGGCACAATTCCTCCCACTTACAACAATGATGGGGCACGATTCTTCCCACTGACACTAATGATGGAGTACTATTCCTCCCACTGATACCAATGATGGGGCGCTATTCCTCACACACACTGACGCTAATGATGGGGCGCCATCATTGGTGCAGTGGGATGAATAGTGCCCCATCATTAGTGTCAGTGGGAGGAATCGTGCCCCATCATTGGTGTCAGTGGTATGAATAGTGCCCCATCATTAGTGTCAGTGGGAGGAATCGTGCCCCATCATTGGTGTCAGTGGGAGGAATAGCACCCCACCGTTGTCAGTGGGTGGAACTCTAATAGGAAGAGGTGGAGCCTAAAGAGGATGGGGTGGAGTTTGCAAATGAAAGGGTGGGACAAATTTAGATGCGGGGGGGGTGCCCGATTTTAGTCTTGCCTAGGGCAGCACAAAACCAAAATAAACCACTGATAACAGCCTGTATTTCTCCTGGGGTTACCTGCGGGGGTTTTCTTTGTATGCTGAACAATTGTGGCTGCAATCTTTCTAGTCTATCTGACCTTGGCTTGGTATCAAGAGATCGCTAAACTTTCACTTCTTAATAAGGGATTGAGCATTACTGGCTGACATATTCAAGGCTTTGGATATCATTTTATATCCTTTTCCATCTTTATAAACTTCCATTACATTGTTACATAGGTCTTTTGACCGTTGTTTTCTGCTCCTCAAGGCTCGGTATCTAGCCTGCTCAGTTCATCCACGTGATAGCTAACAAACTCATTGACTATACACAGACACTAATTGTAATTCAAAAACTCACAGATGTAAGAAATTAATCTTTAATTGCCATTTTAACCTGTGTGTGTCATCTTGTGCATCTGTACTAATGCATACCAGGGTATGTAAACTTTTGATCATGGCCATTTGGGTGATTTCTGTTATCATTATGATTTAAAAAGGAGCCAAACAACTATTTGATAATAAATGGCTTCATATGATCACTATTCTTAAATAAAATACAGTTTTTTGGGCATAATCAGTCATATTTTCAATATAAATGCCAAAATTTCACGATTTTCTGCCAGGGTATGTAAACTTTTAAGCACAACTGTATACAGGTTTGTGTTTGTTTTTTTTAATGATGTATGAGGGTTGATTTTATAATATATTTGTATCAAATAAAATTGATTTTATTTTTTTTTCTATTAGAATTAATGGGTGCCTGATAAGTCCAGCTAGGCAGTCAGTGATTTCAGAAGAAAGTCAGCAATGACAATTGTATTTCTCCCAGTTCAAATTTCTTTAAGTACTATGGTGTCCGTTTATGAACCAGGTAATAGATCGCTGCTCAGTTCTCCGGCATTCTCGGAGAACACAGTTCTCCTGTGAATGCAGTTTATGAAGCAGTTCTCTGAACGAAGGGAGAACGGTCTCCAAACGCTGGAGAACGGTCTACAAACTCTGGAAAACGGCTGATTTTACTATAATCTCGCGAGAGTACAGTAAAAGATCAGTTTACTAAGCAGAGGTAAATTATCTCTGCTTAGTTTGTGGTCCCTCCGATTCTCCAGCTCTGGGCTGGAGAATCTGGAGGGAGAACACAGATCTCCAGTGAAGGGCTGAAATGATCTCCTGAGTGTTATAAACTGTGAATGACCAGAGAATAGCTGAGATCCGTTGAATCGCAGCTATTCTCTGTGTCATAAACGGACACCTTTGTTAGGGGGTGGCACCTGAGATACAAAACAGCTTGATCAAAAGCTGCATATTTGTTTCAAGAATTATCTTGCTGCTGACAACAGCTGTCAAATTAAAATAATGTTTCTTTCTCACCCCAATGAGCAGTTTAAAAAACTGCAGGCAAACCAGAGAACTCAATAATAAATATGTAAAGTGAAAAGCTATTCACCTGAGTCTGTTTTGTTTTGGAATGTAGTTTGGAAGGAAAAAATAGTGTTCCATTAAGCTTTCGGAAATGAAGCCTGTCTTGGATAATGATGCTATGGGTTCCTGACAGCATTCCAACCATTAAATGAAATACTATATAATAAATGAAATACTATCTAAACAGTGAGGGGGTCCAGTTTACGTATGTTACAACGTAATGTTTTTTGCTGCAGGTAGCGACAGTTAAAGTGAACAGGTGTGAGTGCGTGGGATGTTCACATCACAAAGCTATGTTGCACTGAAGTAAAAAGAAAATGCTACTGTCTAATTTTTTTTGCGGTAGCGCACATTAAAGTGTGACCACTTTGTCCATGCAGGGCAACCAATAGGTTCACTTTAAAGTGACCCTCTCTAAGAAAATACATCCAGCGGCTCCCTGGAAACAAATTAATACTTTCTCTTCACCAAAACACAGTTCCGCAGTTATTATTCACTTAGCTAATGCATACTAGAAAAAAATGCATAAAATAAAAAAAACTTGAATATCAGGTATTCTGTTTACGTAAAATACCATTACTCACAAGAATGGTATTGTTACAGATATATTCAGGTTGTTGTTTTATGCACTATACCTGCTTTTACTTCATGTGTACTGTATATTATCTGCTTAACCACTTCAAGTCCAGACACTTTTACCCCCTTCCTGCCCAGGCCAATTTTCAGCTTTCAGCGCTGTCACACTTTAAATGACAATTGCGCGGTCATGTAACACTGTACCCATATGAATTTTTTTTTTTAGACAGATAAAACCTTATTTTGGTGGTATTTGTTCACCACTAGGGTTTTTATTTTTTTTTGCTATATAAATGAAAGTCCAAAAATTTAAAAAAAAAAGTGTTTTTTTTATAAAAGTTTGCAAATAAATTATCTTTCTTCAGAAATCTTGGCCAAAATGTATTCAGCTATCTTTTTTAGTAAAAATAAAAAATAACCCAAATTAGTTTATAACCAAAAATTATAATTTTTCAAATTTTAAAAAAAAATTGTATTTAACTTTTTTATATATTATTTATGTTTTTTTTTTTCAATATACTGAAAAATGTGTGTCAGAAGTGGTTGGCCAATCAGTGATGACATGATCGGGACCTCACACCGGATCGCGGGGCCGCGCGCTCCCAGGGAGCATGCACAGGCTGAAAATGCAAGCGCCGTTTATGAACGGCAACCCGCTCCTGCACTGCTCCCGGCCGGCCGTTTATGTACATGTGTACGGAAAGTGGTTAAGATACATGTACACTGTATGCATATCTCTATGTAAACTGTAATTTGCTTTGATCGGTACCATTCATATTATACAGCACCTGATTTCTTAAAAAAATAAAGAATGCATAAAAATGCTTTTAAAAAAGTTGAAAACTTACCTCTTCAGCAGGTGGCAGTCAAATCTTTCCTTTCTCTATCAGCCCTGGGAGCCGTTGTTATACAAAACGTCTCAGGGCTCATGTACACATGGCGTTTGGAAAACCCTTCTGAACAATGGAAACTGACTGCTGGAATATGTAGGTTAAAAAATGTCAGTTTAGCCGCGTTTGCATACCGTGTTTATGTGCGTTTATGTGAATGATGTGCGTTTGCGTTTGGAAGCGTTTTTAAAAGATAACCTCAGGAGACCTTCCCAAATGCCCAGAATGCATTGAAAAATAGTAAATAATTAACTATTTCAGACATTTTGAGAGGAATAGAGTGAGCAGAAGCAGGAGAGCAGTATGTGTAGAGATGACCTGTCTTTTCTGGTTGTATTCATATGGATCCCATCATGAGCATAATGTGGCACGTTCTACCATTCTTTCCTTCACACAAAACCTGGAACTGACTGTGCTAGTGTACTAGGTCCATTTGAATACATGGAAAACACTTTGCATGCATTTCTGATTTTTTCATCATCAGAAATGCATTCAAAGCGTTTTTCATGTATTCAAATGGACCTAGTACACCAGTGCAGTCCGTTCCATGTTTCGCGTGAAGGAAAAAATGTCAGAACGTATAGCATCTGGATATGGAACGGTTAAAAAACGCTTCTAAACGCGGTTAACCATGTTTACAAGCATTTGGCGTTTGAAACTCCAGTAAAATCTACTTCTGAACGCAAGTTTGGTGCATTCAAAAAAACAACCGTAAACTCAACTGCCTGTAAACGACTGTAAATTACATTGTGTACATGGACACATAGGAAAACATTAGGGAGAGTTCAGGGGCTTCTGAAAAAAACGCTGAACAGCTCCTGAACATCAGTTTATCAGCTGCAGTGTACATGAGCCCTAATGAGTCAAATAACAGGGGGAAGTAGGGAACCACAGAGCCCAGTGGAAGGCATGCAATCCAAGGAGCTGGAGTTGAGGGAGACATGAGAAAAATCAAATGAAAAATACCACTTTCATAGCCGATCATGGCAGTTCATGCGAAATTATCTGAGGGGACAAGCATGAAAATGTTTTTCTCAAATGATTTTTGTTTAATTAGAACAATATTCATTCAAAAAAAAATCAAGTGACCAAGGCTGTGCATGCTTGGAAACAAAAGAGTACATTACAATACAATACAATACAATGCATCATTTCTGAAGTTGTATTCTGTTGTACAAGAACTTTCGTAACTTTAGTACCATCTTTATTTTCGATATAAAAATAGATGACCATTTGTCAGATATTCTCATCATGTGTACGAGGCTTAATTATTCAGCTATTCTATTGCAGGGAGCAGCTGGATGGATATTCTTACACAGGGGCGGACTGACAACTCATGGGGCCCCGGGCAATATGGGATCATGGGGCCCCTGTGTCCTTGCCCAAACTCAAAAAAGCCTATGAAAAAGGTACCAGGGGCATCTCATGGGCCCCCTACTGACCCCGGGCCCTCGAGCAGTGCCCGAGTTTCCAAATGGTTAGTCCACTCCTGTTCTTACAGGAGTGACAGGGCGATAGGGTCGCTTTAATGCAGTTCCTTACCTAAAATGTAGTAAAATATGGCAGTGATGCTGATGTGAACTTTGTGTATAACATTGGAGTCCCTTCAACATGGCTCATTTTTTACCTTACTAATATACATTGAACTGTACTCACCTCTCACGGTAACAAGTTACAGCCGTCTATTGCTGCTCCATCTGCCAAAATCTCTCATCTCCTCCCACTGGGCAGTTGCTTGGACACAGGAGTTACATAATTCCCAGCACCGGGCTGCACTGCAGGCATCTTAGAGAGCATGCATGCACCCTTTTAAAATCATTGTAAAATAAACCAGCGCCTGAACCCAACAATAATTAATTAGTGCTGCTGTTCATAGATTAAAAATATCAATACATAAATTTGAATACAACCAGAGCACAAAAATGTATAAAAATAATGCAGAATATCAATAATAAAACATTATCAGTGGAAAAATTCATATTTGATCGGTGAAATAAATATAAGTGAAAATATGTGAAAAAAAAATCCACTGTCCAAATCAGTGGTGAAGAAAAAGTGCTCCAATAAAAAAACGGTGCTAAAGGATGGTCCACACCATCAAAGACCGAACCTGCATATACCTGTAGGGAGGAGCACGCCTACTGCAGCCGCCCAGCCACCACCAGTGTCCCTATTGTCTCTTTGCATTTCATCTACCCTGTGGGTGGTCGTTTGGAGATTGTCAAGCAGGAATTTTCTCTCCCTGATTGGGATTCATTTGTAGGACACATCTTACCTCAAAAGCTTGTTTGACTCTTGAGCCTTATCAGCTAGGAGTCCATTCTATTTGGTGAGTGCGGGCCATATTGGAAGTCACAGATGGTGTGGGCACGTTGGATTTCCTTTAGCACTGTTTTTTTTTTTTTTATTCAAGCACTTTTTCTTCACAATTGATTTGGGACAGTGGACTTTTTTTCATATATTTTCACTTACAGTATATTTATATTTGTTTCACCAATCAAATTTTTCCACTGATATTTTTTTATTATTGATATTATGCATTATTTTTATTAATTCTTTTGCGCTGTGGTTATATTCAAATTTACCATTTTAAAACTGCTCAAAGAGAGTAGAAAGGATTCTTTAGCAGAATAGACATGCAATGACTCTTCTTGAAAAAAAGCTCTATGTCCGAGAATTCTTTTATAAATCACCTGCAGTTCCATTTAAGGAAATAACTGTTTGCAGGAGTTCTTGTAGAGAAGTCCAGGGGCAGAGTATGTTGTAGCTTATGGAATTGATTATAGTCTCACATGACTGTGTAAATCCTACCCACCTACATAGCCATTAAAAATAGGCATACCAAGAACATACAACATACCAAGGACATGCGGCCTGATATGTGTGTTCAATTACAATTTATAACCTTATAAAGACAAACAAATAATATGCTCAGGATATAAGCAGTTGATAAGTAAAGCAGCACTGCCTATAAAAAGCAAGTGACTATAATTGGTGTCTGCTGCCCAACTTGAAACAAGTAGCCCTGCATAAAACCTTGTAGCCATAGTGATCATTATAGATCTCAGATTTCTTTCACAGCCAGCTGTAATCCTTGGCCTTTACAAACTAGGCAATATACAGAGGGAGAATTGTGTTAGGTACCCTGTGTTGTCCCTGGCAACAACAATAACATAACAAATGGTTATTTAGATTCTCCTTTTAATTCTTCCTCAGCAAAGAAAGATTCTTGAGATAACAAATAGTGAACTAATTCTTCTGACAATTTCATATAAGGGGCCCATTGTGATTTGCAGTTTTTCAGGTCCATAACGGTCCAGTTTGCAAAATAAATAAATAAAATGAATAAAAACAACAACAAGGTCAACTTTAATGTATGTGCTTCATTTAGGGCATTAACCTACAATGGTTGCTGATTTATTGCTGCATTCAGCAATGGAAGGAAATCTTTGCTGAAAGAAATTTGGTAGTCATTGCTGACCTCTCACTGTCTGAATTCCCCGATTGTCATGCTGATCCAGTTTCCTAGGACTTTCTTATTCACTGACTAGAAATAAATATGCAGATTAGGAGTTCTGATTTCACTGTTATAATGATAACGTATGGCATACAAAGTACCCCAATGAATGATGAACAATATTGGTTTAATAGGATAAAACCCCCGATCAGAAGCCATGAGGCATCTTTGGCACAGCACAGTCCCAAGTCAAAACCTTTTCCATGAAGCCCAGGCATGTGCCTTACCCTCCATTTTTCCTCATCCACATGCTGCTATTTTCCTGTAGACCCTAATGAGAAGGTCATTTATTTTCAGACGTAAAAGTTAATAGTTTTCCATGAGGCTCTCTATAGAGATAATTGTGCCACTGCTTTTCAGTGCAGTTACCAGTCTTGTTCAGTTAGTGTACCAGTCTTGTACTTGCCTGTCTTGGCTATGCAACCTCCTCAGTGCTTCACAGCCTCCTTTTCTAATCTCCTCTGCTGAGCCTGCACATACATGCTGGAATCTCCATTCAATCCTATGAAAAGGTAATGCTTCAATAGAGTACTCGTAAAATAATTTCCTTAACAAACTGCTCCCACTCTCCCTCCTTGTCCCATGCATATCATCAAGTACAGACTTCTGATATGCTGGAGACATCTTTCAAACTGCCTTGAGATATGCTGGATTTGGTAGCTCATCCGTCTCCTTTAAAGTGTGCCCATTTCTCTACTGATCCTACTATATGCTTGCAACTAGATGGCCCCTCCACTTTTGTAGAAAAATGGCAAAACATGCACAGTACCCTGCCAGTGCTGAAATGTTATTTTTTTGTTAATCGAATTGTAGCACCCTCTTAGTTAGGTTACTAAGTAATAATAGGAAATTTTCATTTTTGGCTAGGCAGTAGTCAACCCAGTTTGATTTGTGTAGGCATGCACTTTGTTTCTCCCTAAGCTCAGTAAGTTTGTGGTGTCCCATTGTTATGAGTTGTTGAGGGGTCATTGCTTCACTGGGCATAGTATGAGGGTTCCTGCTTGGCTAAGTTATGAATATTCATCTTTCTTTTGGTCATCCTAGTAGGGTGTTCGAGCCATTGGGAGACGATGGGGAATTGTGTAAATATTTGGGAAAACCATGTGTTAACTTTCTTGCCTCAAACTGAGGCCTGGGAAGTTGCTGCTGGACTGTTATGCTGCTAGGCCAGGAGCCTCATTAGGGTCTAGCATCTTTTGGAGAACAATCCTAGAAGCCTAGCCTAGGAGATTCACCATCTGAGAAAACTGGCATCTCTGAAGGCAGTACTACTAGTCCAATTGCTGTTCAGCAGGATCCTAGCTGTGCCAGAGCCTACTTGCAATTACAGAATCCCCTCTGAGACTTCAACTTTGAGGATCCAGTCAACTACCACCTCACTAGAAGACATCTGGAAGCTAGGTCTCGGTGGCTATTTTCTGGCCTTATCAGTAAGATTTTCAGAACATTGATGTTAGTCTTCTTCAATAAAACCTGTACTTACCAGAGTATCCCAAGCCCTATATAAATCCTCTGTTTCAAGTTAAAAGTCACAGACTGGTCACTGGGTCAATGTGCATGGAATTGTTAAAGTGTGCATGTTGACAGCCTCTGCACAATCAGCATTAGTCAGCGACCCTCACGGGGGTCCAGCTACAGAATATATTGTATTAAATGTGGTACACTTTTTGTTGAAGTGTATGTAAAACTAATCTCTTTTGGTTTTGCATACAGTAAGGAATGGTTAAGATCTCGGGATTTATTTTTATTGTCTATGTCCTGCTCTGGAGATTTGTCTTCACTTCCTGCCCCATTTTTTTATTGACAGTATTACTGTACTTTAAATTCTCTGTATCTGTAATTTGTTTATTCTTTCTGTCCCTTTTATTGCTCTTATGTATTGTTATATTATGCATTTCCACTTGTCACCACTAGATTATTATTATTATTATACAGGTTTTAAATAGTGCCAACAGTTTGCGCAGTGCTTTACATTATAGTGGGAGACAATACAGTAACAATACAGTTCAATACAAGAGGGATTAGAGGGCCTTGCTCCTTGAAGCTTACAATCTAGATAACACCTTAAATAAGAGGCACCATAGCCCGGCACACATAGCTTAACAAAGGACAGCGCCTGACAGGTCATTTTCAGTATGCATGCTCAAAACCGCACTGAGGCACACCCGGTGATGTCATCATGGCTGACACCGTGCTCAAGAGCATTCCAGCACTCCTTTCTACACACAGCCGGCTCCCAAGACAAAGATGAGTGGCAACTTGAGTGGCAGCTGACACGTTTACAGTGTGAAAGACCGTTCCTGCCTCACCGTGGATGGACTTCTTATGTGCCTGTTATGTGAGTTGCCTTCAACACATTTCCATTACAATAAATTTTACAGTCTACATTTAGAGGTGCTTCTGTATATCCCTTGTCTTGCATCTAACATTACCCCCACATATCCCCCCCCCCCCCCCGAGACTGACAATACTGCTGTACAAAGAGGTGTCTCTGTTGTTACTTTGTTCTGGACATTAATACTGAAATTTTGTAGACAGGCAGCTCCTATCCTCATATTGATTCCAAATTAATAATAGCTACTGCAGTAGGGAACAGACACAAAAAGATACACTCAGCATCTTTCCAAATCACTGTTCTGTTTATTTGGCGCAATTGAAGTTTTTTTATATACATGAATACGTAAGTATCACATTAATATTACAATTGTACGATTATGGTAACAAGGGGCAGGCTAATTTCTAACCAGGATTTGAAAGAATGCGTTTGAATGAAAACGTAATACATATACAATACATAGGCAAATATAATAGAAATAGAATACAATTTTATACAGAATTTACAAATTTCCTTTACATACTTTAACCAGAGTGGATTCACCCTAAGAGGGATTGTGTTACTAGTCAGATTGCTGGGTGAATACAGAGAAAAAAAAGCCTAAAACTAATGCAGCCATCACATCCAATCATTGATAAGCCACAATATAATATATTTTTCGCTTTGGGTTTAATACTGCTTTAAGCTAGATATGGTGCTGAGATACTTGTAATAATA